TTTGGTTAACTGAGCTGGATCGAAGGCCCAAGGACAACCACCAAATGCACTAACATATTAGAACTAACGTGACGTTCCAAGCGTATTAGGCAGCCACCAAAATGTACTGTGCACCCAGCAGCCTATCAGATGCCGTAGGGAGGCCCCGAGCACAGAGCACCCCCACAGTCGCTGGGAGATGAGAGGCAAGCAATCAAAGGATGAGCGGCATTTTAAAAAGGCATGATACCCACTTTAAAAATGGGCAAAGGATATCGGTAGACATGTCTCCAAAGAAGACATACGAATGGCCAACGGGCACAAGAAGAGACGCTCCACACTCATTAGTCAGGAGGGAAAAACCAATTGAAAATGAGATGCCACTTCACACCCACTAGGATGGCTAGAATCTAAAAGACAGACAATAGCAAGTGTCAGTGATTATGTGGAGAAATTGGAATCCTCACACATTGCTGGAGGGAATGCAAAATGCAGCCGCTTCGGAGAACAGTCTGGAATTCCTTTGCTGCCCCACTCATTGGTAGCCCGAGCCTGGACTGGAAACTCAATGGGATGCCTTATGGCTGGGATTTTGGAATAAGTGATAGAAAGAAAAAAGGGGACAATTTGGACCGATCCACGGCAGTTGTGGTGATGATGGAGAAATGGAGCGGTCTGTTTGCTGCCCTTGGCCCACTGGAGCTGCCCTGATAGCCGTCCCTTCTCGAGCCTGCAGATAATTCTGTGGGTCACTCAATCCTTCCATGAAATGTCCTTTCCACTCAAGTCAGACTCAGAGAGAAGGCTCTGCCTACAAAGGCTTTGAGTAACTCCAGTCTCTAACAGATGCTTTGGGTAAGAGAGTGATAAACCAATCTCTAAATGTGATTCGGCTTCCCATATAGATTGATGTGAGGAAGAAATTCCTCTCTCCACTCACTTTTTGCCAGCTCATGAATTCAGGTTCACAGGCCAATGATATTTCTTGGTGTAAATTAGTAAATGGGCACTAGGGCATCTTAGCTAATGCCAGTTCAACTCTCAGAACCGACTTCTCTGTGGCCGGTAAAGGGGTCAACAAGATGCCACCCACAGAGGCAGAAGGATTCTCTGGAGCTGAAGACATCTGAGAATCAACAGTTGCAGAAAGATGCTTTTACTGAACTCCCCTTATCTGCATAAGAGCAGAGCCTCCTGAAAGAATTCAACGGTCATAAATGCATAAATGCCCCCCCCAGGAGTTTCACAACCAAAGAAGACTGACTCCTCTCACTAGAGATGAGAAGGAAGCACCAAGATAAGAAACTGCCTAAACAGACACTATCACAAAACTATCTCCTCTTCATCCACCTAAAGCCCTGTTTATTTTTCATAAAAGCCATTTGTTTTTCCAGAAGTACCTTTTCTCCTCCTCCCTATTAAAATGGTATTTATATAAGCCCTAAATTCTAATTGCCTATTTGAGTCTCGTTTTTTCTGACGCTCCCCACGTTCATCAGCAAATCAAACTTGGTCTTTTCTCCCGGTCATCTGTCGGTTTCAGTTTAATTTGCAGGCCCCACTGACAGAGCCTAAATGGGCTGAGGGAAAGCTTTTCCTCCCTGACACCACACACAAGATGCACAGATGGATTCACAAATGCTAGAGCCAGTCAGCCTGGACCCTACTCTGATCAGAAGGCAAGGGCCATGTCTTACTTATTAAGGGATTCTCTCCAATTCCAGAACAATTTGTTATACATTGTAAGGTTCAATAAATACCCATGTAATGAATTTCAATTATGAAGGAGCCTTGCCAACATGGCAGTTCCAAGACCTGTGCATGCAGGGCATGATTAATGCAAAGTGGCTTCAGCCTGTGAGTATCAAAGTAATGGATTTGGTTTTCTTTTATGATTATAGAAATCTGTCTTATTATTTTATAGTATGTCACATACACATTTTTTTTCTTTTTCTCTTAGTATAAAGCCATAATCTCCCTGGTTCTAAGATATGAGCCACACTCTTCCAAATATTCCAAGAGCCTTTTAAATTATAAAATGATGGACCTGGTTCAGACTTGTGCAAAGGGAATCAAAGATACTTTTCTCCTGGGCTTCATTGGTCATTCATTTATGTCTGCTGGAGGTAAGTCAGGATAATGTCTTCAACTTCCTTTGAGCATAGAAAATTAGGGTTGAAAAGGATCTGAAAGGATGCCTAGTTTAACCACCTATTTGATATTTGAATCTGCTCAAGGACAGCCCGATAAGTGGGTGCTCTGCTCATGTAATTGACTGCAAGGCACCTCAGTGTGTTTGCACGTGGCTCACATACTTAACATTTCTTCCTTCTACTGAACCTAGCCCTTCCTCCTGGCATTCTCTCTCTTGGTCTTGGTCCAACCGGTCCTTTTGAGGTCTTATAGAATACACAGGTCTAATTCTTTTCCCACCTGCCCACACCATTACACACTCTGGGTCCAGCTTTTCTAGGTTAAATGTCCTTGGTTTCTTCGGTCATTCTTCATATCACTTGGTGGCTTTCTAATCTTAAAATCCATAGTAACAATTTTAGAAATATTGAGTAAGTAGAAGGGACTTGCCCTGCCAGATTATCAAGGCTCTTTATAAAGCTATAATAATTTATATTCTCAAATTCTATTTTTTAAATTTTTATTTTTTTAAGATTTTATTTATTTATTTGAGAGACAGCGAGAGAGCACAAACAGGGGGAGCAGGAGAGAGAGAGAGAGAAGCAGGCTCCCTGCTGTGCAGGGAGCCCGACATGGGGTGTGATCCCAGGACCCTGGTATCATGACCTGAGCCGAAGGCAGACGCTTAACCAGCTGAGCCACCCAGGCGCCCCTCAATTTCTTTGTTTCTTATTACCTCTAGCTCCTCCCCTCTTTCTTGGGTTCAATTTCCTTTCACTTCAAGTACAACCTTTAGTAGTTCTTTCAACATGTGCCTCTGAGTGGTAACCTCTCTCGGTACTCGACTGTCAAGAATGATTTTTGTGCATGATTCTCAGCTCCCCCTCCCCTTTCGGAGGGGCCCAAAGCCACATTTCCTGTCCCTTTACGGGCATGACATCCCCCTACATGTCAGTTCTGACCTATCCCAGCTTCCTGAGCATTAGCTCATCTGCTTTCCATTCTGGTTTGTGTTTCCTCTTTATTTCTCGTACCTAAGGATTTCCCTTTCTTTGTTTTGAGCTCAGCTTTATATTGTTATATTTCATCCTGTGTTTGTCATAGGAGGTGGGGGGGAGGGTCCACATTAATCTTTTTAGTTTCTATTACTGGAAGTCCAGATATTCTATTTATAACAAATTTCCCTCTTACTAATGTTTATTATTCTCCTTTAAAGTAAACATCATATATTTTGATAGAGAAAACAGACATGACAGAGACAGCTGGACACTTCTTACTCTGTTTCAGGAATAGATATAAAGTTTTCTAAAAAAAATTTTTTTTAATTTGGTACATAGGGAACATTCCCTAAGTAATAATTTGGGAAAAGGCAATCATCTGCCAAGAAATGGAATTTCCCATTGGTCTCTATCCATTTTCTTACATCACCCTCACTTCTGTTTGCTCTACAGAGGTGATTCCTACTCAATATTTGATTTTCACCCTCCACGCTAAGAATGACAAAGCAGCATCTTGAGAAACTGGTCTCTGCAAGGAAGTCATCCTCAGGCCAGTCCCAGAGCTCAGCTACTCTTGCAAATCAGCAGCTGGCTGGAGGCTGAACTGGTTCCAAATCCTGGGAATTCACAGCTCCTAATAATAGATGAATAAGATCAATCTCATTTGCATTTCATCGTGACTCAGGAATTCCCTGATACTGCATCCCTGAGTAGATTAAAACAAGTCAGTTTAATCAGCCCAAGGCCTTTGCTGTCAGGATATCGGCTTGAGAGATTTCCATACACCCTAGTGACAGGACCCAAATGCTCCCATCAAGAAGGAATAGTCCATGTCAGCCTGCTGGAGGGTGGAGGCCGTGCGAGCATGGCAGAATCCCAGTACAGCTCCTCTCAGAAATGTCTCATGGTCAAGGCACAGAGAATGGATAAATATTCACGAGCATCAGCAAATAAATGGAGGCACTGTCCAATTATTATGTTGGAAATGCATTCTGAATAATCACATATGGGCCAAGAGGAGAAGCCGTAGGTGAGGGTAAAGAGTCTTCATAGAAATGATAGCAAAGACCAAACCAGTCACAAACTGGTTCACTGGAGCAGACAGTTCACTTCAATAAAATGTATTTCATGTGACTCTACAAATGTCCTGACCTGGAAGAGAAGAACAGAGGAAGATGGGCTGGAAGGGGGTAGAGGGCGGGGAGAAGATCAGAAGCTCCAATAATCAACCGCCATTAATGGTAAGAAAACAGCAAGAGAGTAAAGGATATACTTTGCAAAGCATAAATGGCAGTCCTGATGAGTGGTGTTGGTTCATAATCCTTGTTTCCTTACCCTTCCAAAGGAGCAATGACAACCTCTACCTTGGGAAGGCTGGCTCCCCTTGAGAAATCGAAACCACCTCAGCACTGCATTTCACTTTGGTTACAGGTGGCCCGTCACTGTGTCAGTTCCCTTTGCGAACAGCTAAGTGGCCACTCGGCAGTCAGTGGAATGCTTACCAAGTCAAGACCCCAGTGGCACACCGCCATCTTTGACACTTCTCTACAACAAAGCCATCTCTTTCCCACTGCGGACACTGAACCAGGGGGGAAGACAAAGTCCTGTATTCCTTAAGACCAGATTTCATCTTAACATGTCATCCAAGGGGTAGGAAAGGTAAGAGGAAACGTCCTCCTACTGAAAATGCAATTGAGGACGATTTTGCGGAAGGCGGGGGATTCTGGTTTTGGAAGCAACCAGATTGGTGGATGGAGACAGGCAGATGTAATGACTTTCCAAGTCACCTTTTTATGCCAGACACGGTCTCCACCGCAGCAGTAGGGTGGGCTGGAAGGCTCCTGCATGGCAGGAGAGCCCAAAGGCCGATGGCCAGCTGCCATGACTCACCTGTTGAGATACACCCGCTTCTCGGTGAACTGCCCGTTGCCATGGTGAGGATCCTCAAAGGGTTCATTCTGGACGACCTCCACCCCTTCTCCTCGGTCGCTCTGTTCATGGCTGTGCTTGCTGATCATGTACAGCTGTCCGATTTTGTACTACAAAACAGACAGTGACAGAGAGGTCAGCCCCACAGCTTGCCTTCGAAAACACGCCCCCCCGCCCCCCTGCCCCCCCCGCCCTTCAACCGTGCAGCAAGCAATGACAGTCAGCACTTTCTGCCAGAAAAAGAAGGCAGACACATGCGCCTGGTGTTATTTTTCCTCCGGAGCGAGGAGGAGAACCAGTTGTGAGTCGAGTGTAGATACGGCATGTTCCCGTGAACAGTCTGCATCGTCGGGGTGATGCTTGCCGGGGTGGCTGGCAGACTCAGGGCTGGCAGCCCCCCAACCCATGGGCAGCAGCAGGAAGGCTAGAGTAGTGGAGGCCCCCATCCCATTCTGGCCCTACGGGGTTAAATGGTGCTAAAGTCCTATTTTGTTTGGCAACAAACAGGCCAGGATGTGTTATTTCTACCCCTTTTCTGCCTCGTTAACTGCACTGCCGGGCACAAGGGGTCATCTGTATCTTCCGTCACCTCTCTCCAACTCTCCTGAAGTTCTCTGTCCCCTAGAATAGCAGTTCTCAAGGGTGGCTGGACATCAGAATCACCTGGAAGCTTCAATGAACTCCAGCTGAACTCCCACCATGAATAGAACGTGTATTCTCCAGACTGACTCCACGATGACAAAAGTCTACGGCGTCTTTAACTCCTTTCTCCCCAATTCCACCCACAGTGTAGAGCCTTCCAGCCCGAGGTCCCAGAAGCCACATGTACTTACAGGAAAATAATATGGAGCAACAGACAATGTGAACATTCTCTGTCCTGTCTGCATTTTTGAGCTGTTCTACTCTCCCTCCTGCCTCTCTGACAACCCCAGGGCCCACAGGCATGTCTTCCCCCAGTGAACTTTCAGAGTGGCAAAACTAATTTGATGGAGAAAATAAAGAGGCAGAGAGAGAGGAAGGAGGGAGTAAAATGACTTTTGCAAGAGGGAGGTCTGCTCAGAGCCAGGAGGCGAAACGATGCCCCCCTGCTGTTGTCCTTCCGTCAGATTTGGTGTGAAGGAACACACACACTGTGTCACATCAGCAAGGCCCCTGGGAAGGGGAAAAGGGGCCTGAGTCTGCAACAAAATAACGATGGGTTGTTCTGGATTGTTTCCCAAAGAGCTCAGGCCAGCAGGGATATAGGTCTCCTGTCTGTGCACAAGAGAGAAAAATAGATTTTATGTTATTTTATTTTTGAGAGAGAGAGAACATGAGGAACAGATTTTCAATTAAGGGGGCAGGTGAAATGGACAAATCAACAATGCAGTCAGTTCTAAGACTGAGAGGACACACAACTCCAAAGGTCCCTCTTACATTGTGAGGCAGGTGCAGGGAGGGGAGTGTGACGGAAATCCAAAAGCCTCTGTCTGGTCTGAGGGCAGCCCTAGGACCCGGCCAGGCCCAGTAACCATGGTATAACCAATATAAGCAGCAGGCTCGGGTCTTCTCAACGGACAGTGCTACCTGTCCCACACCCCTCCCCAGAATGATCTGCACCTGAAGTGCTTCTAACGTGAGTGTGTACGTGTGTGCACATGCATGCATGTGCTGTGCACACTCTGGGGAAGAGGGCGTGCTGAGGATAAGAGCAGGAAATGGAGAGGGAGAAATCAAAGGTAAAATCTATCTTTGAATTTATTTTCAATCAGAAGTTTGACCAGCTTCCCCTTAGTAAGTCTGGCTCCTACTTTTGCTCATAAAGACTACCCAGGACTCTTTCAAGAAGGAAGACAGTGGGGTGCCTGGGTGGCTCAGTCAGTTAAGTGCCCGACTCTTGGTTTTGGCTCAGGTCATGATCCCGGGGTCCTGAGATGAAGCCCCATGTCGGGCTCTGCGCTGAGCATGGAGCCTGCTTGAGATTCTCTCTCTCACTCTCCCTCTGCCCCTCCCTCCCTCCACTCATACTCTCTCAAAAAAAAAAAAAAAGAAAGAATTTTAAGAAGAAGGAAGACAGTAAGAAAAAGTTTACAGATCAGGGATTCTTGAGATACACCTGTGAGATCACACTCCAACTTATGCAGATGGGCACAGGAGCCTCTAAGAGGAAGGATGCTCAGCTGCCTGCACCAGCAGTTGCTTTGTACTTGGGTGTTCAAAAACAAGTGTTGGCCTACAATGGAATACTATTTAGCCATTAAAAGGAATGAAGTTCCCATACTGATACTGCTTAGTGGGTGTTATGGGTTGAACTGTGTTTCCCCAAAATCCTATGTTGAATCCCAGTATCTCAAAGGGTGACCTTGTTTGGAGACGGAGTCTTTACAAAGGTCATCAAGTTAAAATGAAGTCATTAGGGTGGGCACTAATCAATAGGACTGGTGTCCTTACCCACAGGGGCAAGCTGAACACAGAGACACAGATGGAAGGAAGACAGCATGGTGCGGCACAGGGAGCCGACAGCCATCTCTAAGCCAAGGACTGATGGACTAGCTCTTTCCCTTACAGCCTTCAGAGGGAACCAGCTCTGCCTGCTGACCCCCTGGTCCTGGCCTTCCGGCATCCACAACCATGAGGCTATCAAATTCCGGTTGTTCAATCACCCAGCCTGTGGTGCGTTGCTTTGGCGGTCCCAGCAAACGAATACAACGGGCATGGGGCTTCCTTTGGAGGTGATGAAAGGGTTCTGGTTCTGGTTCTGGAGAGAGGGAACGTACCAGGTGCCACTGACCTGACCTTAACATGATGAATTTTATGGGCTGTGATTTTCGCCTCAACTTTTTGTTTTTAAAGTGTTGACTCTACTTCTGACGCAGATACCCCTAAAACCAAAATCCCATCAAGGGCTTTAGTGGGGGCGGGGGGGGCGGTTGGCAGAAGGGATAGGTCTACCACCGGACCGTCTTTAGCAGCTGCAGCCCACTCATATATGAAGGATGTATGGCATCAAGGACAATGCATGACCCAGAAGGACCATTAGCCAGATGAGAGTCAGCCCTGGGCTTCCTCAAGTGCTTCCTGCTCTGTGGAAAAGGGAACGGGCGAGGCAGCCGGCAGCTGATTCACCAGTGGCCGCTCAGCCTCATTGATCATTCCAGAGGCTTCTGAATGAGCCAGTGCGCGGCGGATGCCTGCCTGAGCTCACCGAGGTAACGTCAGTCCGGGGGCGGCCGCCAGACGCTGGATGCAATAACGTAGGCACGACCGGGGGTGGCGGGACACCCAAGGCCAGACTCGGGGATGGTCAAGGGCTCGGCAGCTGTCACTTCTTTCCCTCCCAAGCACGTCAGGCCTGCTCTGCTGGTTGTGGCCATCTGAGCGGGGGCCATCCAGAAACAGAGGTTTTGTTCTTGTTTTTAAACCGCAAATCAACTCGCAGACGCATGCAGTAGGCAGTTTCTCGGGGACAGGGTAGAGGGCAGGACAGAGATAGTGGTTGAACCATCTATCTCAAAATCACCAGGGGTACTCCTCAAAATGTTGGATCCCAGGCCATCCAGACCCTGGGGGAGAGGGAAGCTAGGGACCTGGCTGGAACGCACACTAAATGCTGAGAGCCACCAGGGCCGAGGCGCTGAAGGCATTCATCAGCACCTGCTCAGCACCTCATGGTGCCCAAGCCAAAATGTTCCACCTTTGGGGGGCCTGGCTTTTCTTTCCTCTTTAATACTCGTTTTTTTGCAAAGCTCTGTCCCTAGTTTAGTGAAGATACCACATTCCTCATCACCGTCTCCAAACAAACTTGTATGGCAAAGGAAGGCTGACAAACGCAAAGATTCTGAAGGGCTCGTCAGACTTGGAAGCCAGAGGGGCACCCGGGTGGCTCAGTCGGTTAAGCGTCTGCCTTCAGCTCGGGTCATGGTCTCCGGGTCCTGGGATGGAGCCTCCGAGTTGGGCTCCCCGCTCAGCAGGGAGTCTGCTTCTCCCTCTGCCGCTCGCCCTACTTGTGCTCACTCACTCTCTCTCTCTCTCAAATAAATAAAATCTTAAAAAAAACAAAAAAGACCTTGAAGCCAAAGAACGAATAACAAACAGATCCGATGACTTCACGCTCACAACGACCTCCAAATGAGGAGACTGAATCTCAGACAGGGGCAACTTTCTCCAGGCCGTGTGGTAGAGCTGGGATTTGAACACCACGGGGTCTGTACTGTTTGTTCTCTACCCAATTTCTGCCCTTATTTCTCTGACAGGTGAATCGCTTTCACAAATCTAGGCCTCACTACGATTTTGAAAAACGGGATAGTTGGGAGCCACTGCCTCTGAACTTTGCTATTTCAGAAGCCGAACGACCGAAGTCTGAGATCATGTGAAAGATCAAAGTTGTTGAAACTGTGCCCACATATGGAAGAGTGGAGCAATTATGCTCTAACTTTGTAAAATCGATTGTTATAATTCCAGAGTTTGGGTAATCATCATTACAGGCAATCACGATTAGAGACAGCTCCACGCTGCAGGGCTGAGCCTCCGTGTGAGCCGTCATCAGAACAGCTACCCCAAATAATTATCTCCGCAGTCAAAAAACATCATGGGGATTCAGATCTTTCCCACTTGCACACAGCGCTGCATGTCTGATAGAGCTGCAAAATTGGAGGGAAGGCACAGTTTCATAAATGTGCCTGGGGAAGCCGAGCATTTTCATCAGTTGGTACAACTGCAAACTCTACGACTGGGGACAATCCAGTTACTCAACACAGTTCAACCTCGGGGTGTCTGGGTGGCTCCGTCGGTTAAGCACCCGGCTCTTCATTCCAGCTCAGGTTGTGATCTCAGTCGTGAGATCCGAGCTCCGTGTTGGGCTCTGCGCTCAGCGGGGAGTCCGCTTAAATTCTCTTTCCCTCTGGCCCTCCACCCCCCACTCTCTCTCAAATAAATCTTTTAAAAAAATACAGTTCAACCTCAACCCTTGATTTTAGAAAAGGTGACCCTAAGACAGAACTCCTGAGTATATGGTTTATTAATCGAGCACCACCCCAAACTGAAACATCATCCCTGCCACAAGTATTGGACCCAAAGTGTTAGGCTCAACAGAACCCCAAACTATGACTGATTTTCACTTAATTGCCCCACC